ATATATAATAGACTATTATTATATAATGTATAATATTATATTAATAATATTATATGTTATATAATTATACATATAATATATTATATTATAGCATTATAATAAGTTAAATTGGACAATATAATTCTGATTTTTTTGATAATCTTTTGGTTATTTTTAAAAGACAATTATAAGTTGTTTAATTATTATATGTTATAATTTTTAATTATACTTTGATATTATATATAATAGACTATTATTATATAATGTATAATATTATATTAATCTTAAAATATTATTATATAATATATAATACAATATATAATTCATTATTTAAATATATTTAAATGTTGAGTTATATATATCGTATTATATATTACAATATAATAAATATTTATATACTGTCACCTTATTGACTTCCAAAAGTTTATAGAATCTTGTTTCGAAAAAACGATATAAAACTCTAATAATCAAGAAACAAAATACAGATTAAATAAATACCTTCCAATTTGCAATTTCGCTGAGTCTATTCGCCAAAACACAGCCAGCTGATCCAGCTCCCACTATGACAAAATCATACTCTGTCATAAAAGGAGCAGTGTCCGGTATGTAATCATTTCTGTCAGAAAAGCCTGCTTCATTCTGTCTCGGTAATTTGAAATTACCGATAACGTTCGCGTTCGTCCGATCTCTTCTTCGTCCTCTCTGTTGCCGGAATAAATTGTCGGGGAGATGATACTGCTGTGGATTAGGTAGGCGATCGATTATCCTCGATTGTTGCTGCGAACTGTACCACTGACCTTCCAACTTGTTGCCAAAATTTGATTGCACAAAGAAAGGAGAATCGCTGTAATCTATACTCTTCTGTGTTACCGCGCGAATTCCCACTGCGAAAGCAAACGACAATGGTTTCTAACCAAATTATTTAACTGTCATTTTATCAGAGTTGGGCAACATTTGATACGATTATTTATTAATGACGGATAAGACATAAGAACTGACGAATAAAATTTTGTTCGTCGCTATCGAATAAATATCTAATTCAACTGAAATTAATTAGATACAATTCTGGGTAAGACAAATAATTTTAGGTGAAAAAAATTTGAATGATAATTCGTTCGAATAAGAATTTATTCGTTATTCGAATAAAAAATTATTCTTACAGGAATTAATTTGTTAATTAATTTGTTCTCCATATTTAAACGGAAACAAATGAATTCGTTTTGGCACACTCTTTTATATGATATACAAAAATACGTAGTAGTCCATTGAAAAAATTAAAGATCATCTTCATCTCTAGTAACATAATGCAGATAGAAAAAAATTATGGTCATCGTTGCATTGTTTGTAATAAAAACAATAGAACTTGTTCTCTCTCATTTTTTCCTAATATTTACTATTTGCAAAAAAAAACGGCGTTAGTGCGAGCACAGTGTAGAATAATCTTGTGGACTTTCTCAAAAACGATCGCATGTATTTTCGTGGTATTATTAAACATCCGAATAAGTCGATAATAAGAAATGCTCTCTCCTACTTTCTCTTTCGTTGAAAATATTCTATTCAACTGAAAGAATCGGAACTTGCTTCTTTGTAATCATAAGCGAAAGTGTAACACAGTGAACCCAGCCGACAACACGGTTAATTGGCTTTGTGCTGTATCGAAATCGTGTTCAACGAAATCGAGAAGCGATACGAATATGGAAAATACGTTCGGCGTTACAACGGAATGTGTTCTCAGAATGCGTTGCTCTGACGAAATCGCGTGTTCAGTGAAACTTCGCAATAAAACGAAGCCAAAGAATTTATATGCGTGCTTTAAGTGTTCATAAATAAAGTGAAAAGTGAAAGACAGAGAAATTCAACATCTTTGTAATTTAAGGAAAAAGACAAATGCAACGATAATAAGTAGATAAATTCTACGAAAATTAGAATTAGAGAAAAGTGTTTCCTTCATCGACTAACACTTTACATATTGTAAAACGAAGATGAAAATGCTATTAGACTTTGTTTATTTAACGTTCCCTTGCATCTCAATTTGACATAAAAAGAAATATACAGTCCTAGTAAAAAAAAAAGCATTGGTGTAATGACGAGTACAATTTTCTCAACGTTTTCTTATTTAATGACGAATTTATTCGTCATGAAGTAATAACTATCTTTAATATGGTTTTGGTGTAATAACGAGTACACTCTTCTGGACGATTTTTTAAATTTAATAACGAGTTTACTCGTCATAAAGTGATGATAATTTCTGGCTTCTCGCGAAGGAAAAGATTTCTTTATTTAATGACGAGTACATACGTCATAAAGAAATATTAATGCTTTTTGTAATGACGAATTTATTTCTCATAAAGACGTGGTAAATTTTTGTGCAATGACGAGTATACTCGTCATGAAGAAATGACAATTTTTGGTGCAAAGACGAATATATTCGTCAGGAAGAATTGGCAATATCTCGTGCAATGACGAGTATACTCGTCATGAAGAATTGGCAATATCTCGTGCAATGACGAGTATACTCGTCATGAAGAATTGGCAATATCTCGTGCAATGACGAGTATACTCGTCATGAAGAAATGTATATTTTTATTTAGTAACGAATATACTCGTCATGTAGAAACAACAATTTTGTATTTAACACGTTCCGTGCCACGTGTACCATAAATGGTACACGTTAAACTTGACCATCAGGCCACGTGTACCATAAATGGTACACGCGGACATATTTATTTAAAGCGCTGAAGACATACATTTTGTGACAAATTTGATTGTATAAAATATATTTCCACCAAAAGGATGAGAGGCATTGTAAAAAATGCTGTATAGAACAAAGCACATAAATTTGTTTAATCGTTATATACACAATAACTGTTAATTACAATGTTTGACTTTTTTAAAGCAAGAGCTGCATAAAAACGGTTGATTCGGGCAATCACTACTTATCTACTGATGATATAATGAAATATTATGTGATAATGTATCAATCTTTAGTCAAAACATCAAATGGCCTGAACGACAAGTTAGGCAAAAATGGCTTGGCACGGAACGTGTTAATGCGGTAGCCTGACAGTCGAGATTCCATTGTTTCGTGTCGTAAGAGGGTTGGCCGTGCCAGTAAACGTTTCCCCAATTCATTCAGAGAACAGAAAGCAGCTCGCGATGTATGCAAAAATTATCGGCTCACCTTCCGGGATAAGAAAGTCGTAAACTTTCGACAGACCGGTAATTCCTGCAACGGTACCCCGCGGGCTGTAAACCCGGGCAAAATCGGCACTTTCCTCGCTTTCATCCTTGACGCCCGTCGAGAAGAACTGCTCGTATTCGGACCGTGAACCATAAACGACGGCTGGCGATAATTGCCGCTGCAGTGCATCATCTGGCAGCGGAAAGTTATCCGGTTCGTAATGACCGACCCTGTCCCTGCGACGATTCCTGAAAGATCTGGTAATTGTGTCCGATTGTTTCGCGGCTCCCCATGGAGAGATCGATGTGTTGACGTCGTGGGGTGGGTATCGATCTTTCGATTGCCCGAATAGTCGAGCGATTAGGACCAAGAATACGTAGCTGGACGGCTGACACGTTGAAACTGTGGAATGCGGTGTGCAGAGGTTCGCTAGGTCCGGTGGCACCCACGACATTATGATTGAGCTGTTTGGGTGGGTGGAGTGATTATTCAAAATCGAAGGTTCTGAAAAAGGTTTTATGGTAGATATTCTCAATTAGATTCAATTATAATGGTGATTTAATGAATTCTTAAATAGACTTTGAAATAGATTCTAATTCAGATTCGAATTATAAAGAGTTAAATCGATATAGAGTCCCTTTGGGATTAGACTTTAATTATACTATGCTTAAAAGAAAATTTTCAGTAGACCTTCAAAATTTAATTGCATCAATTTTAACATAGGATTGCATTTGAATTAGAATTTAGATGGATTACATTTAAAATATGTTTTTCATTCAGATGACATTTTGATTGGATTAATTTTAAAATAGATGTTAAAATATATACACAAAAATGTAATTCGATTAATATTAAAATAGATGTTGCAATAGATATCAATTGGCATAAAAATTTGATTGAATTGATTCTGAACAAGATGTTTAAATAGTTTTTAATTTGCATAATAATTTAACTTGATTA